CCTGTCTGGAAAAGAAAATTGAGGACCAACAGAGAATACAGTACTTATTACAAGAACATAAAACATGAGCAATATGTCATGCTAACAAGGTTGAATCACAGTGAAAATCAATATTGGAAGCAGTATTTGATTCTGACAGTAATTAAAATGTCTACATGATTAAAAGCAAGGGCAGCCTGTAACCTTAATGTTAATAAAGGCTTTTTATGGATGTTTCTAAATGTGTGCATGATGTGTGTTAGAACGCCCTGGACCGTGCCGAGAATCTGACCGCTCTGGGTGTCCACCTGGCTCGTCTGCCTGTGGAGCCTCACATTGGCAAACTCATCCTTTTTGGGGCTCTGCTGGGCTGCCTCGACCCAGTACTCACCATTGCTGCTTCACTCAGCTTCAAAGACCCCTTCTTCATACCCCTGGTAGGGCACTGAGTTCACAGACATAAAAGCTTATGTTGGCAGCGACACACACGCACACTTCACCACATTGCTGCATTCTACCTTTCGGCTTTTTTTTTTTTTCATTTCAAAGTAGGTCTTAAATCAGTTTTCTTTTATGCGGCTGTATTTCCTCAGGGTAAAGAGAAGATGGCAGACATGAGAAGAAAGGTCCTTTCTAGAAACTCCAAGAGTGACCACCTCACTATTGTCAATGCCTTCCAGGTAAAACAGCCCCTGTCTGTCGATTTTCTTCATCTCTGTCTGCTGTGTGAAATAACTTATCATTCATTGATTGGCCAGGGCTGGGAAGAAGCAAAACAGCGAGGTGCCAGGTATGAGAGGGAGTACTGCTGGGACAACTTCTTGTCTGCCAATACACTCCAGGTGAGCCAGACTGATTGTGAATGCTGTGCTGAGCTTGACACTGATAAAATCAGGGGTAGGCCGTGATTACATTTTTAAGTTGACTTCTGTCTGGGCAGATTAGGACATGTAGCCTTTTTAGAAGTAATTTGTCCTTTTATCGTTCAGATGCTGCACAACATGAAGGGTCAGTTTGCTGAGCATCTAATGCATGCAGGCTTTGTCAGCAGCAGGGACCCCAAAGACCCCAAATCTAACGTCAACTCGGGTAACTAAGGAGTTTTTGGTTGATTTCCAGCTATCAGAAAATGTTATATGAATCTTAAAATCATGCTGTGGAGCAGTAACACAATATTTTGTGCAATGTGTAAATGTAGCAGAGCTAACTGGTTCTTTCTCTAACTCACTTCCTTCCTCAGACAATGAGAAGTTAATCAAGGCGGTGATTGTAGCTGGTCTGTACCCAAAGGTGGCCATGATCAGACCATCTCATAGCAAAAAGAGGCCAGGGTGAGTCTGCTAAATCAAAGAGTGAGATGAACAAAGACAGACTGGAAAGGACTGCACAGCACACAATGGAGAAGCACGCAACCATTCTTATTGATCTTTAGACAGAAAAATGGCCTTCACACTGCAATAGCTCATCAGACCTCTCAGGTATAATGCTCTGTAAATGTCCTGTGACAATTACCTCAGTCTGTGCAGACACCACGTTAGGAAAATTGCCAAAAACAGAGGCGCTTTTGCTGCTGAAGATCAATCCAGTCATGATACATTTGCCTTCAGGCAGCTGTCATGCGCAGCGGCTGTGACCTGTGTGCAAGAGAGACGCACACAACAGGGAGACGGACACTCTCAGAGTAGGGCTGCCACTTTCATTTGTTGGTCTCAGTGACCGCTTTAGACCAAGTTGCACAGTGAAATTGCCAGGGTCGTTTCCTCTGCATAACTTATTTTCTACAGTTGTGATGCTAAGCAGGCTGCAAGTTTTGATATGTTTCACACGACAGCTTTGCAGTATTTAATGAATCCGTTGCTCGATGAAGCACTTTTGTTTGTTTTGCTGCTAAATCAGACTGCTGTCTGGTACAAGCAGCTTGTTCCCTGCAGTCAAGCAGTCGGTTTTGTCTGGCTGCGACGCAAGAGCTTGGAACCCAGTGTTACTTTCATGTTGGAGATGATTTGCAGTCTGCCTCACAATTTCTCTTTGGTACCCTCCGTGCCTGAATGGCAAGAGGCATTCGTTGTGCATTGTATTAACAAGCCAAAAACACATGGTAGGTTGTTTCTAAAATTACTGTCTGATTCATTTTAACAACATGTTTTCTGGTGATGAGGAATTTAGCAGTCAACATGTGCATACAAACACACACTCATAGTAAGCACGTGTAGATGTGAAATATTTAGACTAAAATCATACAATACAGTAAGATTGCTGTTATTAGTGGAATTCTCTGTACAATTTTTAGCTTTGATTTCAACAGTTTCAACAATTCTTAGTCACCTTTTTATAAATCTGAAATGTTTCAGAATTTCTTTTTTGTCTGCTAACAAAATTACTTTTTTTTCAGCTATGATAAATGCTTCTTCTTGTGTTCTTTTGTCAGTTATGAGAGACCATGTTGATAAATACATTATATTTCTTTATTACCAAGTGTTAGGGATGTCACTCTTGCCATTAAAACTAACCCTAACACCCCCCCTTTTCACACACACACACACACGCACACACACACACACACACACACTCTCTAACATCTTATCTTTCTCAGGGTTAAAGTGTACACCCAGGCTGACGGAAAGGTGTGTATCCACCCAAAATCTGTCAATGCTGAAGAGACAGAATTCAACTATACATGGCTCATCTACCACCTCAAGATGAGAACAAGCAGCGTGAGTAGGCGAGGGGACATGGGGAACGCATTTTGCTGTGTTTCACCACTGCTGCATGAATGTTGTGTGTCTACATTTGAGTGTGTGTTGCCGTATCCTTTTGATTTAGTACACAAGTGAAAAGAAGGACCAGTGGCTAAAGGTTGGCCATGGTGCCACGCCAGCTTCACACTGAATGAATATTTGATTAAAACGCGGCCTTTCAACTATCTCTCAAAGGCTCTTGTGCTTCAAAGCTTGCATACACAATGTGTGTGGGGGGTGCAAAACAGTCAGTAAGGCTCCCTGACTGCCGCCCTCTCGTCTCTCCCTCTTTCCATCGTTTTCTCTTTTTCCTTTTTTGTCCCTGTTCACACTCCCATTTTCCCCTCCCTTCCATATGTCTTTGTTGTTTGTGCTGTCTCTCTTTGTGAATGTTACCATTCTGCAGAAAAACACCTTTCATGTCCTCTTTGATTACTGCCCATGCCTCTTACTTTGCTGCCTTCGTCTTTATGAAGAAAAGTGTTGTGCTAGATTTCACCAACATTATTGCCACTGATAAATGTTTTTTTAGTGTGTGTACTGTGTAAGTGGTTTTGTGCACACTGCTATGTGTGTCTATTATAAAAGTAAGGTATACTGAGTGGGAGATTGTCAAGGCCATTTGTTTACTGAGAGAGAGAAGGAAGCAGAAGACCTGGGCCGTAGAAGAAAGGAAAAAAGGGAAATAAAGTGAAGGATGACGTTAAACTTTATCTCTCTGACGCACTTGCCCCTGGTGGTCCATTACATTACACATTCATGGGGCGAATGCAGTTTTCCATGCGATCTCCTTGCTTCTCTTTTTGTCCTCGTCCCCTACCCACTCCCTCCACCTTCCTCTAACTTTCTCTGACACTGAATTTCACCACTTCCATCTGTTACCTTCAAAGATGAAATAGGTTTTGTGTGACCTCAGACTGCTGCTTATGTAGTCTTTGACCATAGATGTAAGCAGTTTTGAGTGAGTGAGTGTGCACACAGATCAGTAGAGGATTGCTTCCATTTTCTGTCTGCAATATTCAGTCATTTGTGAGAAATATATACAATAGTTAAACTACTCTACATAAGCAGCTGTCAGTTTAGCGCAAGGATGGGAAAGACTGCATTTGTTAGATTCACAGACAGGGCAAGATGACATTTTCAACACGGAAGGGACTGAAACACATTTCAAACTCGCACAGCCTCTCCTCACTAATGGGACACTTTCAGCCCACACCACAGAATAGCTGCTGGGCACGTTGTGTCATAATGATGCCGCTCCCTGTCACTGTGTGCGTGAGCGTATTTGTTGTAATAGTCCTGTCGTTGTGTGTTAGCGACATCTCTCTGTGTGTGTCCTCAGATCTTCCTGTACGATTGCACCGAGGTGTCCCCGTTCTCACTGCTGTTCTTTGGAGGAGACATCACAATCCAGAAAGACGAAGACCAGGAGACTATCGCAGTGGACCAGTGGATCGTCTTCAGATCCCCAGCACGCATCGCTCACCTTGTCAAGGTAAATTAGGGACACACTCATCAATAAAGCACAGTCATGATGAGATTATAATTTTTTACTAACTTCTCTTTTCTGCAGAGTTTAAAGAAAGAGTTGGATTCTCTGCTGGAGGAGAAAATTCGTAACCCTGCTCCTGTGGACTGGCAAAACCGTCAGTCTAAAGACTGTGCTGTCATCACAGCCATCATAGACCTCATCACCACCCAGGAGAAGCCTACAGGCAGCACTAAGGGCTATGGCAGAACATGGGAGTCTGCCCCAAGAGGACGACACATGTACTTCAATGATGACGAAGACGACGACGATGATTAGAAGTGGTCAGGTTTTTTGCTGGCAATGAAAAGAAGAGCCTCTGACTTCTGACTCTGAATCCTTGGACACAGAGGTTAGTTGGGGTATTTACGATAACCAGCTGGCCTCCTTGATAGTGCTCCTGAAGGACAAACCCAGGACCCAAGAGCCCTGGAAAATGTTATACACTTGAATGAATGATTTTTTTTTTTTGCCTATTCGATCATTATTTTGCAAGGACCAATCCATGTTCAAATAAACTCCGTCGCTGTTTAGTTTAGTTTGCACATTACTGGTTTGGATACATCTTGCTCTTGTTTGAGCAATGTCACATAATGGACTGTGCAATAAAAGGATGTAGCATGAAATGTCTAGCTCACTGAAATTCCAAATGTTACATGAATAAAAGTGGAGTAATTTTATTTGGTCTATCTAGCAGAGGTCCCTAGGGAAAAGAGATGTCATATTTGATCATTGAGAATACATGACAGGCCCCAAGCAATTAAGCTTTTATTTATAGTGGCTGATTAAAATATAAGGTTGAATAACCAAGTTTCTGCAATATAAATCTGTATTTTTGGAAAACATACATGTTACAGTTCAGGCTGTTTTACATATTTACATGTACATCGATGATTTACAATAGTTACAGGAAGTGCAGGAAGTGATTGAAATAAAGATCAGTTCATGCTTGGACGTGTGGTATTGCATAGATTATTTTCCCTGAGTGCAAATGCAAAGCTTCATCTGTTTTTTTCAGATTCTGGATACTCGGGTCTCTCCTGCTGGGTGCTCTGCTCCACTACTGTCATACCTTTCTTCGTGTAGCTCAACAGTTGTGGTCGTCATTTGGGCTGGAGCCAGGACAGTGGGCTTGATAGATGATGTTATCGCCACACTCTGTCCAAGCCATTCATTTCCTTTGGCTGGTCATGGCAACACTAAAAATATGACTCACACAGGACAATCACATTAAAAGCAGGGCTGCTCTTCTCTTCTGGTCTCAGCATCAGCACACACAAATTAATCTCAGCTTGCCTCTGTAACCTCACATATATAAATCCTAAAGGGGGGGTATTTATATATCCACCTCTGGCTGGCATCAAGTGTGTGCGATATTTCAGGATGTCCAAATCATTGAGTGAGTGACACAAATTTCTGATTCATGGAGTTGACATTAACTGATGATAAACAGCAAAGTAGAGAATGGACACTTGCCCCTTCTGCTTAGCCAATAGATGACATCTAAGATTATACCTCCCTTCATCGGAGTTCTACACTAACCCACACACGGTAAAGAAGCTGCCAATCCCACCCTCTTGCCTTATTACTTTAACAATCAGCATCTTCATAGTTGTATGATTACTGGCAATACTCCTAATCACATGGCCTGAGCCTCATTAACAGAGTACATATCAAGCTGTTGTCATTTTCACTTTACCTCCTATAGCGGTACTGTAGTGTCAGTTATTACATTGCACATCACTTATACTCAATATGTTTTAAAAAAAACAACACCACAATTTACAAATTTCACACCAACGGTTATGTAGCAGGGTGTTGAAAGCAGTGGCTCTGGCAATGGGTGTGAAGTTTTCTAACCGACCGGGGAATTAATGAATGCGACAGGTCCCACCGTTGAGCCATGCCACCCACACAGGGACCGATCAGTAATTAAGGAAATCTCTGTTCTTTCATCGTGGTTGTTCTGAACAGTCAACAGTTTGCTTTGGAACTATTTAGTGGACTCTGAGCTGAACTATGGCTTCATCTTTATCCCTGTGTAAAAAGTTCAGCTGCCACACTGGTCCTTGAAGGCAGGCCACTGATGCTGTTACTGAAGTCATTTGTCTGGGTACACTGCTTAAAAAGGCAGGTCATGGTCTGTCAAAAGGTCTCTTAACAGCTGAGAAAAGCCCTCTGTGGGTTGAGCGGCTAGCTCGTCCTGCTCACACATTAGTCTCCAACCCCTGTAGGCGGTCCATCCTCTGCATGTTGCGCTCAATGGTGGCCTGGCACGTGATTGGTTGGGCACACTCCGCAAGGAACCATCCCCTTTCTCCGTCGCGCAGTCGCTCCCCTTCATACCAGCCTAAGAGGAGAAATTGTATTGATACATGAAACCAAAGCATGTTTTTTTTCTTTGTGCTATCACTGCTTCTGATGTTCAATACTGTCTGCACTTTAACATGAAAGCCTTTGGCCTCTGTATTTGTGTTGATTTTCAAACCACATCTTCAAACAAGTATAAGGCCCATTACGGGAGACGTGATGTGTATTGAAAAGGAGAGCGTACAAAAGTGCACGATGAAAGAACGCAGTTAAAACAGGTCACTGAGAGGAATACTAAAGAAGGTGAGTGCAGCAACAGAAAGAGCTGGAGAACAAAATGGAGCCTATGAAGGCAAGAGAGGCACTGAGAGCTAACATACCGTCGTCTACAGTCTGCGAGACCAGCACCACGTCAGCTACCTGCAGGGACAGCTCATCTGGCTGCTTGGCTGTGTAAGTTCTGATCACCTCCATCTGCATGACATCTAAAACAACACAACTCAAATAAATAACTTCAGATAAGCTGCACACTGGCTGCATATGAAGATGTGAATTAAGAAGCCAGTTGCCTTGCAAACAATCTGAGGAAAAAAAAAAAACTGTTTCATCAGATGACCACATGGTGGTGCAACAGGCTAAAAGGAGGGGTGTCAACGTAAATAACTGTGTGTGGGAACTTACTGGTTCTGTCCTGACTCTTGTTGTTGTTGACATTCTGACCCAGAGCACTGATCCATCGAGCACGCTCATTCCTAAAAGCACATGACAGCACATGGACAATTTATTAAACTGTTCTGGCACTGAATGGAGTTCTGAATATGAGACTTTTATCAACTTCTCAACTCCCAAAACATGACAGTGCTTTGTCAGTTGCTCAAACCCTAAATTGTTAAATCTTCAATTAAGGGAGTTTAATTCTTTTGATTTTGTATTAGCACCCGCTATGTCACAGCTGTTTGGACAACATAAGCAGCTACAAAGTGAGAATCCATTTAAACCAAGCAACAGCAATAGGCTACTGAGGCAAATGGATAACTTAATTGCCCAGGAAGTTTTGCCTTCCCTCCCTCCTTTCTGTCCTTCTCCTCTGTCAATGTGAGAACAGAGGTGTGTTTTCAGTGGGAGAGAACAAACACAAAGGCTGATCTCAGGATGGGAAAGACCTGCTTTTGCTTTCTCTCTTGTGTGTTTTCATTGAAAAAAAAAAAATGGGTGGAGTGGTGCAGGTCAGATTCCGAGAAACGTTCATCTGCTCTCGTCTTCTACTGAATGGAGACAAGGCTTTTGAAAAGAGCGAGAGAGGGGGAGCAAGAGGAGGTTTAGGAAATGAACCAAATGGGGTTACTGAGGCCCTCTGTGACTCAGCACCGTTTGCCTACATCATGTAGGTGGGTACGACATGCACAGACAGAATTTGTGGGGACACTCTTCACAAGGGCCTCAAAAGGAAACTCGAACAGACAAATCCCTTGAGCCAGACCTCATTATTGTGTTCCCATTGTACACATGCTGTTTGGTACTTTTCAGGACACATAAGCTGTAAAATATGAGGTCATGTCATCTCTAGCTACTAATTGGACTGTATGAAATCACCATCTAAACCTTTATAACCATTACTTTGAATACAATCATCAATTTATAGACTCTCAATGTGCACCGACAATGCAATATTATGACAAAGAGTGAACTTTGAGACTGTAAAATGCATCGTTATCAACTCCAATCGACACCTATCAGACCAGTCACCTCCAGGGCTTTCGAGTCTCACGCATTCACCTTGAGACACACGCATTTCAGCCAGTTCACACTCTCACACCTTGTATTTCTCATGCTGAGAAGTTAGTTAAGAGATAACATCCTCAAAGTTGTTAATTAATGGACGATCATTTCTGTGCCGAGTTCATAGCCATCTCTGTAACCTACTAAATGCCGGATCCATTTAGCTGATCAGAAATTAAAATGTGTTGTTTCCGGGTAAACTCCGGCTGGTTCGTGGTTCGTTACCAGGCAACATGGATGCGCATGCACCATGGCATGCAAACACGGAGTGGAAGTCAGAAGACCCGATGAATGCGGTAACTGTAGTTTTTTTTTTTAGCATTTTGATTTTACGATTCCTGGACAAAATCACTTGTCTGTGATCAAAGATAGTGAGAGCGGCTGATGTTGGGGAGTACAGTCAAATGCATTATAAATTATTATGGATGCAGTCAAAAACTCTCCAACCTCTTTGCAACCTGCAGCTTAGGCTTTTTTATCCAGTGGCGAGCAAAGTAACTTAGGCCTATTCAGATCCTTTAAAAAAAATAAAAGTACCAATATGTCACTGTAAAAATGCTCTGCAAGTACTGCACTGAAAAAGTTAAGTAAAAGTATGTAAGTTGGCTATAATCAGGAAAACGTAGAAGTAGGCAATTAAAGACAAAAGTATGGCCAACTCAAAACAGAAAGAAAAATGTCCCGTATGACCATTATATATTATATTGTTAGATTATGATTCCTCATGCATTAATGTAGTTGGTTGAGGTTGAACAATTTTGTATCAGACTGCAATTAATTATTTTTATTATGTATTACATTATTTTCCTTTGAGATGTGGTGAAGTAGAACTAGAAAGTGGCATGAAAAGAAAATACTCAAGGTTCAGTACAAAGACGTCGTGTACTTAAGTACCCACCACTGGGCTTAGCTTTGGCTACCTGAAACTAAGGAAAGGACTAGAGATATTTTTCTATATTTTGGCTCTGGACGGAAAGCTATCATCCATCACGATAGTGAAAATGGCTGGCCTTGAGCCATAGTGCTTTAAGTGGGAGCCCGCTACCCCTGTCATCAAGGCATTTAAATGTGCAACAAACAATTACAACACAAAACACCATTCATAAGCTTGGCACACAGCTTGGCATACATGTGTAGGTTCTGCCATCCTACTGTAGGCCTATGTGTACAGCACTGCTGTTCATTGGGCTCGTTTGGGGCCAAATTTCTTTAGTTTTGATACATTTGTATTTTTGAAATACAAGTTTATATATAAATAGTCTTTTATCAGATTTACCTATTGTTCTAATTTCTATTCGTTCGGGTCCGTTATTAACTATAGGTAAAATCTAACTGCTAGTAAAAACTTGAGAGAACTGGCTAGGGCCGAGGGTCCGCTGCTGCAAATAATTGAGTGGCTCCTCCTCTAACACGTTATCTCACTCCAAATGTTTGACAAAACTTGAGAGCCCTGCACCACTCTTTGATACCTTTCAATATGTTCAATTGCACCACTGCCTTTTTAAACATTTCCTGGGGCCAATAGTAGGCCTATAGGTGGTAAATAACACTCACCAGTACAGTGACGTCAATCATTTTTTTGTTTATTTTTTCTCATTCATATGTGGTGTTTGCATCAAGCTTTCCTGCTCTACTGATTTGGGAGGTTAACTCAACTTTAATTTTTGCTGTCTTATTCCCTACCTGTTTACAAGTTGTTCCTTTTGCGAGCCCTTGCATTCAACAATAATGTAGCAACGCATGTTTATATCCAAATAAAAGAAAACAGGCTACTGCATACTAGCAGCTCTGTAAGGCTGTACTGAGGAATCTAACTAAATGCTTACTAAAGCATGCTAATAATAAAAATGCTAACTGCTACCTTGCTCAGTCTTACTTTAGCATGTTAATCTTCTAACATTTGCTAATTAGCACCAAACTAAGAACAGCTGAGTGTAGAACCATACCACTAGCGTGTTTAAAACAAAAAGAAAACATTGTTGTCAGGCACCATCATATCCACATTAGCTGTTGACGAGTAGGTGCAGCCAATCTTTATGTACATTTTAAGCTTATAATAGTCCAGGAATGGCAAAGCATCAACATGATAAAAAGGGAAAAGATGTAAAAATGGAATTTAATTTCATTACTGAAACACGCACACTACCAATTAAATTATCTTATTTAAAGCCAGTCAGGAAGTTTTATTCTAACATGTTGGGTGATAGAGTGACAGTCACCAATCAGTTTGGGGATTCACTTTCCTCTGTAATTTCTTCAGTCATCCCTGCCTCCTATACATACCAAAGGTCTGGAAACTATACTGGACATTCCATGAGAACAAACTTGCATAAGACCAATAATATTGCTTCTCTGTACTCAATGCGCAAGTTCTTCTAACATCCAAGCCGCTCTGTGGGAAAGGCAGCTGTTAGTTGTTGCGTTTGACAGCTGGACACACACATGTGCACATGCACAACACACCGACATGACAGGTTGCTTTCTCATGCTTAAACAGGTGAAATACTTTATCAAAGCTATGAATGTACACATATTCAACATAACGTGCAACAGGCAACCACTTGTGGTTCAGAGGCACTTAATGGTTATCTGTGTAATGTGAGGCACATATCAAAAGTTCAGGTAAAAAACAAAAAAAAACAGCCTTAAACTATGACTATGAGTGTGTTTACATGCAGGCATGTGATTACTGCATATGCATGAACTGCAGGTGCTTTCCATCGTCCCCTATAGATGATTACTAGCCTGTGCAGGATCAGTCTATTCACGGTAGTAAAGCGGCCTTTGCCTTTAACCATTCATCCCAACGTGTAGAAGAATGGAATGCCAAGAATCATAAATCTATTGTCAGAGGTTCCTGTGTCACCTCTGAAAAGAACAGAGGCCTTGCTGCTGCAACATAAAACCTCTTTCACACACAGATAAAAAGCGATGACAGCCTCTTTGTAACCTTCCTTCCTCTGCCAACTTAAAATCACCAGCAGACCACTGTATTCTCCTTTCATTTTCATCTCTAATCCTTTCTTCTTAATCCTATCAGTTTGTTTACTCTCAACCAAGTCCCTCCCTTGTTTCCACTAAACCACAGGTTTGAATGGTATTCGGGTACAATTCCTACTCCTCCGACAAAAACATGACATCTCTCTGCCAGGGGCTGACCAGCCAGGGAAAATCCCAGGCAGAAGGAACAATTCCCATCAGCAAGTTTGTTGTTATCATAAACGAAACCAGACTTAGTGAGAAAATCACAAACAATGACATAAACGAAAAGCAGAGACAGTAAAAAATTAAATAAAAAACAATGTGTGAGTGTAACTGAAGTACAGATTCACTCCTCCGGTTTGGGGCTGTTGCGTAATCGGTGCTGCTTTGTGTTATAGCTGCGTGTCTGACTAACAGAACTGTTTTGCTGCAACCTTCTGTAGCTGCTCTGTTCCACTAATAGAGAAGCACTATTCACTGACTCTGGACAGGACACAACATCAGGGTCATGGGGTAGGCTAGCTGGCATGTGCACACCAAACAAAAGGATACAGAGAAAAGGAAGAGGACACAGACAGAAAAGAAGAGAATTACAAACGATGCCAGATAGACTGTCCAAGACCAGCCACACTGGCTTCCTTGTACCATCTCCAATCCAGCTGTCTGTCTGAATTCCTGACGTATTATGTCACTGCTGCGGTCAAAGGTCAGTCTACTGCCTGTAGATGGTCTAAGATTAAACCACAAATCAACAGGCATATATTTTCATTTAGTTCTTTTCAGGTTGAGGTGAGTTTGCTGTTTATTTGTATACAAATCATCCATTCATGTTATGTAAGGTAAACCATGGTGAATATCCCCATAATAATAAATGTTCATAAAAGGCATTCCTTTGAAGTTCGTAAAATATGTACAAAGCATCAACAGTAGGAAATGTGTTTAGTTGAACGTAGTGAGAAATTTAACAAAAACAGTTTAGCATTGTGCAGCCCTGATTCGTGGTTATTACATAGAAACTACCACAGGCGTTTCCAGAGAAGAAGGCAAATCACATAAATTGTACACTATAACCCTGAAACAAAATGGAATGTTTGGAACATAGGGTCCCATATGTTATATATGTGTATAATATAGTAATTACCAATTTTGACTTCCAAGTATTTTCATTTGATTTTGAAGGTATTATGCTGATATTAGCCTATAATAACTATATATAGTAACCTATATTACCTCATTATTATCAGGTTATTACCTCATTAATGTCACCATATTACCATTTTTTTAAATCAAAACACTGAACTGATATAACCATTTTACTGTTAGCAGGTTACTATATTGTTACCAAAATATTAAAATAATATTCCTTTGGAAATTACATATTACTTAATAACATATTTATTAGCAACCTATTACCCCACTTTTCCCATGTTATTACTAAGCTGTAATGTAAAGTGTGTACCTATTTAAGGTAATTATCTTGCCTCTTAAATAATTCTGCATTTATTTGCATTTTTTCTACATTTTTTTATTATCTTGAAATGACAAAACTATGCTTCATTGTTAGCAAGTACAATGACAATAAAGTTTAATTGAATAAATCACCTGGTTTCATGACATTCTAAGTTATCTTTAGTAATAATATTTCACAAAGCAACACAGGGTATAGTATACACATTTTTAAAGTTGTAACACCACTACTTAACCTCTCCACATGAAATGATTAGTCAATTATTAATTATTAATTATTTTGATAATCCATTAATTGTTGGTCATTTATAAAGCAAAAATGATAAAAACATTTTATAGTTCCACTTCTCACGATTTTCTCTAATTTAATTAATTGCAAATTGAATATTTATGAGTTTTGGACAAGTAGTCTAAATTTGACACCTATAGCTCTGAAAAACTAGTTGTTTTTCAAACTTTTCTGGCATTTTATTGACTAAACATCAATCCACCTATTGAAAAAAGAACGAGACTAACCAGATGGAGGAAAAAAAATATATAAGTATTTATTTCCATATATATATATATATATATATATGGAAATAAATACTTAGTTGACTGTTCAAAATCAAAATAAGCAATTTGGTGAAGTGTTGCGATAGGCATTTTTTTTTTTTTTACTATTTTCTGACATTTTATAGATTTAGTGAGTAATCAAAATAGTATGTAGTTCAACGGATTATGAAAATAATCAGTAGTTGTAGCTCTACTCTGCACTCTTTAGCAATTTCTGAGAAAGCCTCAATACTCCTTATTGTCCTCTGTACTTCATTTAACTCTGATAGAAGACCAAAATAGGCTGACTAATGTAACACCACTTCCACGTGTCATGTTGGGTTAAATCACTAAACTGGGATGAATGGCCAGAGGAAGAGGAAGTTATTCTCTGGTCATGGAAAACAAAGAGCAGACAGTGGCTGCTGTCTAAAAGATGAGATACGGGACTGTGAAGAAGAGTCAGGGAGAGTAAAATAACAGGCGGGGGGAGGGATGGCGGGGAGGGACAGTCGTGGGAAAGAGCCCACTTAACAATAGGCCGCTGCTAGGCAACAGCTTAAGTGATGCCTAGCAACCACTGTAACAACGGATAGTTGCCAAGGTCTCCTTTCCACAGCTCATTCAGTGCTACAGTGAGCGGAGTGGTGCCTTCATACTCTCTCACACATGTTTGTTCCTCTACCCTGTAGGGACATCTCATTGATATAATGCATTCCCTAGCCTTACCCTCAAGTCATACATGAATTATTAAATCACAAAATATTTATTTTCCAAATGTGTCCACCCTTTGGGCATAACATCCACTGGAGTGGAGAGATGTATTTTCAGTCACAGAACAAAATGTACAAGAAATATAAATTAAATTTGGCTAAAAGTATTTCTAACATCCTATTTATTTGAAAAATTGTTTTTTTTTTACTAATTCTCTGAGAATAATGCAATTTTTCAGTTGTTGCTCCCGTATTTTGAATTTATGATTCAATTCAATTCAAATTAGCTTTATTGGCATGAATGTGTAACAACAACATTGCCAAAGCATCATAAATACAACATCAGAACAATCAACCCCATACATTTCATGATGTAAAAGACTACAATCAAATGGAATTTTAGACAATGCTTTGGGGGTCCACCACGTGATGGTTGGGACATGGTACTATAACTTAGCTCAGAATGGCTTCTAAATACAGTATATGTCCACTGTAGTGGACATCATGCATTAAAGGGTTAAACATCACAACTAACGTTAACCTAATTCTTACCCTCACCCTAAAACCAAGTCTAAACCCTCAAAGCCCTTTAAACTTGTGAGGTCCAGCATTTTGGTCCTCACAAAACTGTCAGACCCCCAAATATAGTAAAACCTATCCCTGTGTGGGTATCTCGTTGAAATAATGCATTCCCTAGACTCTTACCTTAACCATCACAACTACACGCCTAACCTTAACCCTAACCTCAACCTTAAAACCAAGTGTTAACCCTCAAAAAGTCTCAACCCATGGAGACATCAATTTTTGTCCCCACAATGACACGAGTCCCTATTGGTTAGTGTGCATTCAGGTTAAAGTCCCCACCGGGATATAAAAACATGAAACGCACACGCACATACACACATTATTACAACTAAGCCGAGGGCCCCAATCCCAAGCTATAAAAGGAGGGAGTCTAGGGGATTTCCACGGCAACACACACACAGTAGACAGTGAGGGCAGTTAGACAAGGAGACCCCCTCATGCAGTATATAAGGCTCAGCGGGCACCGAATTAAAGTTATGTCACTAAGATTCCCTCCTACACAGGCCCATAGCGGTCACACTTAACACTATTACCACAATCGCTTTGTCAGGTGTTTCACTTAGTAAGAGCATGGGGGATACTATCAGTGGTCCACACTACTATTCAACAAGAAACAGGGAACAAAGTGGAGATGTACAGTAGTTCAGTGTTTCCCAACCTGGGAGTCGGGACCCTACAAGGATCACAGAGTGAATTGAAGGGGTCACAAGATAAGTAGAAAATAAAAAAATTTACTTCTTCTACATAAAATTATGTTTCCTTTAATATTTGCTTTCTTCCTTTTTTTGTGTATCTAGTTTTACACATTTGGGCCTCTAAAAATAATTCAAATAAAAGAATGACACACAAAGTTTTACAACGGGTCACAAGAAGCCACAGCGTGGATAAATGGATCACAGGCAAAATAGTTTGACATCCACTACAGGAGGTGACGTGGAAGGGTTGGCTCGAAAAACTGCATCAATTTCTACAGTTATCACATTAAAGTGTTTATTTTCATAAAAATGAAGTGACTACTGTCACTTTGACATGTTATGAGATGTAATGGCAGGTCATTGACTTAATCATTTTTATTGCCTTTAAGAATTTAGATTTTAAAGCTGTAGATAATAACACAATATGTACTTGTGGAATAAAGATACTAGAAAAAGGCTTTAAATGACCTATGAGCCATTTAAAAACAGTGTTTTGTGAAAACCACACATTCTATACAGAGAATAAAAAGGAAAGCTCTATAACTACACAGGAATGAGGAGGAACAGGCCCTGTGCATATAAAAACACTCCTTAACAAAGCCTGGAACCACAGCAAATAATTACAGTGAAAACAGAGTGCTTGCACATTTGTGTACAATGTGTGCACATGGAATTATATTGCTAACTAGAACAAATAAACCCTGTATGAAGCCCAATATATGACAGATCCCCTTTGTTTGTATGGATTATATAATCTATCTATACAAACTAGGTTTTCAATCTGTTTGCTGTACAACAAGAAAAGAGAGAGAATTTACCGACACCGCTTCAAACCACCTGACTCTATTTCTAGGTCAGATGTGTGAGTAATCATTCATGCAACACATGCGACACATGCAACACATTTCCACTACAACCAGTAGACTTTAAACAAAGACAGTTGCTTTCCCCAGAATAGATGGCTGGGTGGGAAGACACTTAGTCAACAAAACAATTATCTGGTACAGCCGTTCTGTGTTACAGTATGACTGCAGACAGTATGACTGTAGAACAGACTTATAAACTTAATTTCCTAGGTTAACATAAACAACAAGCAGTAAGGCTCAGGCTGTGTCATCAGAATGGATGTAACAAAATATCCCTGTGACCTGTAATGGTCCAAAAAGAGACTAAGAAATCAGAGCTAAGGAGAGTGACAGAACCAGATTGTCTTACCTCAAGTTAAAAAGCATATTAGAGCACATAAAGGAAAGATAAGGTGTAGGAGTTTGTCCCAGGGAGGAGTGAAGGAGTTATTTCTTTTAGAGACAAGCCTTCAACCATAGGAAAAAATAATGATTTTTGCTTTCTTAACTGGAAATCAATATATCAAACCTTATGACTAACCTGGCTATATGAATATGTAATATATAATATATGAATGTAATGTTATGTCAGAGGAAAAAATGATTCATCAGTTGCTTATCAACAGATCTTGTAAATATGTACTGTAACTGAAATGCAAGCAAAACTAAAACAGCACAATGGAAAGGGACAAATGGTTACAAACGAATAGCACTCACAGCAACTCTGCCCCCAGAATCATGGGCACTTTTTCTCCGGAGTGGTTGCTTCTGAAACATAGACGGAAAAGATGGTTGGCGCCACCTTGCCGTGAGCTCAGCATGCTGGCGGTACTTCGGACCGGTGACAGGTTGAGATCCTCGGGCAGGCAGGAACCCACCCAGATCTGGTCCCTCAGAGCGTAGTCTATCACAGTATAACTCTCCTCGCTGAAAGAGACAGAGAGAGAGAGAGATTTTAATATGATTTCCACTTACTGTACTGTAAAGGTATAGGCCTAGCTGCTCGTAATTGAGGGGCATCACATCATGCAACAACCACCATTAAAGTGCTCTTGAACAAGCAAGTTGATACAGATATATATAGAGAAAGATAAATCAACAGTTCTACTACACGAAAGCGCACCACACAAACCAACACATACAAACAGAGTTGTACAGATACATACAGTTACTGTATGTATTATGAAATGACTTTAATGTCATCTTACATACTCGAACACATATTGTTGCTTCAGTGGAGAAACATTTTTCCTGAAAGTGTATCCCTCTAGCCAATGCACAAAAAAAGAAAATTTCATTATTCAATTTGTAATTTCAAGATAAAACTGTAACTGTTTACTTTGAGTTACATATAAATAAATAAAAAAGTAACCATTATATATATACCAAAATAAATAATAAAGGCTATAAATATCCAGATATTCTGATACTCTTCTGGCAGGATAGTATTCAAACATAAATGTGGATTCAGTAGCTTCTCTCCCCTTGGTACATAACATTTCTAATAAACATTTAGACAAGATACTTGGTCCTCATTTTGAATTTTTGGAATTACATTTTGTGTTTCTCTGTTCCCATATGGTAACTTTTCTGCTCCACTCCACAATTGGTGTAATATACCCTTCAGCCAGAGACAGGAATGCAGACTGTAACATTTAACACCAGTCACCGACTGGAGCTTTAATAAAAAAAGTATTCCATGTTGTTGTTAAATCAAATGAAAAATCAAAATGTTTATATAGAACGAGTACAAAATTACATGTGAAACACATAATATTTGTAGATTTTCATCCTTCCATTCACTACCTCTCACACACCAAATTTAAGCTCACTGTTTTCAGTAAAGATCTAATTTCATGGTACCTCAGCTTAAAAACCCCTGAGAGGCTAAAGGCTGTGTAGCTAATGGAATTCACCTGGATTACTAAAATCAAAGGTCGCATTATGTCTCAGATTTGGTGCCAGTCAAAAGTCCGAACATTCAGCTGGCTACATATCCTTACATTAAATCAGCTGCCCCCTGGTTTCTTTCGTTCATGCCTACATTTCCCATGAGTACCTTTACCTAGGCATGACCCAGTGTCTAGCAGTACACCGCTAGAAACATCTGGAGTTGATTGTGAAACATGGTAGGTTAACTCTAATGCAGCACTGAACCTGGAGAAAAAGTGTATGTGTATGTGTGTGCGCGTTTGTTTTCATTGTGTTCTGATAAACAGGAGCTCAAGTCCAGCCCACATACGTTATCAACCTCAGACTAAAACAGAAGCCAAGCTTACTGGACAGGAAACCACCTTCTTATAGGCCAGCATATCCATTAGTGTTCACATTCATGCTGCGCACGCACACACACACACACACACACACACACACACACAGTTGGGGGCATTCTGGGGTTGACTGGTTGGAGAATCCATGGACATGGTTGAGAGGCTCTCAACAAGGTTCAACTGTTACTCATCAACCCCTATTGGCTACTAATCAATCAAGCTCAATCCTGTTGGCCACAAACCACTTAGACTTCTTAGAATAGGAGAAAGAAAGTACAGGGAGAGACAAATCAGATAAAAGCAGTGGGAGTGGGCAGGAAAGCGAGCAAAATATTTGCGCTAAAGCTGCATCCAACTGTAACCACAAGCTGCTCATAATGGAGTTTTACTCCTTAACCCCTAATCCTTTTTAAAAACCTATAATAATCCATGAATTAACCTATTAGTTTACCCAAATGTGAAGCATAAACATCTGAATGCTGTTTAGAATACAACTTCTTCAAAACATTAATTTTTACCTGAAAACATTTCAACTTCATGTAAACCAGAATCCTAATGATCCCACATGAGTTCCTAAAATAAAATACCAGATCATCATTTGTTAGCTGAATTTTAGGGTCATTACCATTTTGGGTACTGACAGCCTTACAGGTAAATTGCCTGGAATGCCATTTACATGACAATGGAGAATGGGATGGTTAGGGAATCTGCATGTTTGTGGGGAGAGTTTTCTCATTTGTGTGGGTGGGTGGGTGTACAGTGTTGGATTATTGCTAAATAGATGAATGATGGTGGTAAATAGTTGAGACATCCAATGTAGAAATGTGGGAGAAGGGTGTTAGAAACTGAAATAATAGAAGAAAGAAATCCTATCTGCTGCTTGGCCATCTCATGAGCTACTTACACGGAAGCGAACACACACGCTCACTGGACAGAAAATCACTCTGGCCAAATAGATAGCACAGGCATCTACCACACATCATCACAACTGTGCCAGCTACCATCTTAGTAGTGTACAACCAGTTCTTCAACACACAAGCAGAATTAACAAATCTTCTGAGAAATGTTGAGATAAGACTCCTAGTGGAGCGTTCGCACACACACACACACACGGTTCAAAGTAGGAGTGTTGAGACTATGGCATAGTCAAACAAACAGAAGGAGGGGGAAAAAACTAGAACAGAATGTGTTGGGATTATACACTTGCACGCATACACAGAAAGGATAGGATAGACAAAAAAAACACAAGTCCATGACTACTAAAAAGAAAGGATAGGATAGAGAAAGAAAAAAGCTGAGAAGAGGTAGAGATGGAAACCTTAACAATACTGAATGTTTATATGATGCCCAGCATCATACTGGAAAAATGGTGGGGAAGTGAAGATGAGAGAGGAGCCAGCTGGTGTGGACTCGGTGTTATGTAAGTGTTCCTGTGAGTTCCAGAGTGCAGCAGATCAACACTTTCCCTGCTGCGTGACAATAGCTCAGTCTTACTCAGGGTTGGTTTCCAATAACCAGTTCCATTTTGGATCCAATTCAAAGCTGATAAAATAAGTAGATCTGTTAAGCTAAGAGTTGAACAAATCTTTTATTGACACTTTTATTTTTCTCCTTTCATAACCAGCAAAGAGGAAAGTACAAACAATATCAAATAAGTAAGCAAAACCAGACATTTCAATGTCAAACTTTAATTTTGTGTTAGTCAATAATTGTTATAGGGCTGGAACTAACACAGCAAATCCTCACATTGGAGAAACTGGAAGCAGAGAATGTTTAGCGTTTGTGCTTAAAATGCCTTTAACAAATCAAAATAGTTGCCCGTTATGTCAATCTAATACATGTTACAGCTCAGATATAGAACCTTTTGTTACTTAAAATTGTTAAAAGCAGAACCAATTCAGATTTGATAAGAGATCTGAAAGTGGATATGATACTAGATTCACTTTCACTTAAACACTATTAAACCCCAACCGCAGGCAGCAGTGTGCGCTCTGTATTAAGAAATATAGGCCTATAAAACTGAAAACATTCTAAAGGTCATGAGTATGTTTTCTTCCTACTGTGTAGGCTAAGTGCTGTGGCTTTGACCTTTCAAACCTTCCTTCTGGTGATCATGGTATTCTTATTGATGAGAAAAGAAGAAGCCGAAAGGATACACAACATTATTGCATTTGGCAACTAAGCGCAGTGAACTGCTTGTAAGCTACCCCACACCCCCACTACTACCCAGCTACACACACTTGGAGTCATGAAGATATGTCTAGGAGGGTTTGTGACCTGGCTGCGCATGGCTCCTGTACCCCTCGTGTATTTTTGTTTTGATTACTGCAGATGGAGAGCAGTAGAGTACCGTGCCACAGCAGGGCTCCAGCGCTCCCCGCAGCACAAACCAATATTATAACAGCTTCTCCCATTCAAACGCACGCACAAATACACACTCCGATTCTGGAGCACTCCCTTTCCCAAATCCCTCTTCCAAACACTGCCTGACACCACACACTGGTGGAGTCTGCCATCCCTGATCAGATTCCCAGAACAATATCATATGGAATGCCTCTTTTCTTTTTTCAGTGATTTTTAGGAATTCTTAAGTCTGTGAGTGGCGGTAAAATCAGTTCCAGACACAGAGGGAGACGGACGGGAAAGGATATTTCTTTGGCACAAATAGACACAGTGCAAGCGCACACCCACAGTACACACACGCAAATGAAAACCACATCATTTCAAGGAAGTCCTCTTTATGGCCTGCTTCATGGTGCTGCATAAAACTAGGAAGAACAGTGGAGGGGTGAGCAGGCTCACTGACAGGCCTGACAATGAGCAGGTCTGCCTAGCTCCACATGAGTCATGGCACCAAGACATGTTGAAACTCTAACAACATTCAGAAAAACAGATTCATAATGCCAAGTCGTAGCAGGTTCAGGTAACTGCACCTGTTCAGCGTAATAAACAAACCTATTAAGGAGGGGTGGGGGGGTAGTGTGGATAATCAATCTGTTTCTACAGTGACATCTGCAGATGCCAATCCCTCTTGACTTTCTCAACCCTGCCGGTAATGACGGTGGGATAATACACTTAGATCGCAAGACAAGACAATAAATGATATTGGGTTCACGAGAGCAAAACCAGATGAGATGTTAACACCATTTTTAAGAAAGCTTCAATGATGAAAAATATGAAAATGAATGTCTTTTATTTGACCAAAAGTCACAAAATGGAAAACATTTAAAAGTAGCGGGGCCTCGAGATCTCGTCACACCCCTACTTCACACAGTTTTGTTTTCATTTCAGCTCAATAATTGTTCTTCAACTTAACGGCTTTCCCAGGACAAGTTAAAACATGGAGAAAACCATATTACACGCCGTGCACTCAAGGTCTTCGCCATATGCGGTTCTGCACTCACACAGTGAAAAACAAAGGCTTTTGGTTACACTTTCACCCTCAACATGTCAGAACAGGTGAGTCATGAGCAAATCCTGCACAACAAGGCCACACTTAGATCAGCTAAATACAACAAAGAACAGTCTAACAGTTACACGCAGTCTTAGACAGACTCACCTCTTCTTCCTGGTGACGATGAGGACGTCATTGAAGAGGAAGAAATAGACCTGTTGCCGTGACATCCGCTTGTGGAAGATGCCGTTTTCCTCCACAAATGCAGTCAGCTCTCCTCTCTTTACCATCCACCTGGAGGATGAGACCAGGGGGAAAGGCTGGAGGAAAAGAAGAAAGAGAATGTGATTAACAGGAAAAGGCAACAATTCTAACCAATAAAGCATTTTAAAATGTCCGTAATGTTGGTGCTGTCAGGAAATGCTAAATCACAGTTTGTGTGTTCCTGTGTGAACAGCTGGCTTTGCAGACTGAGAATATGTTTCGCTAGACATCTGTGAATCCCAATTGCGCCAACAGCTATTTCCCACATTACTTAGACACACTTGAGCCTGCCAAGCCTTGTGTGCATTATGTGCATTGATACTCGCCAAGTGAGTTACGGTGGTGTGTAGTCTCTGTATTGCTGTCTGCATGTGTGTACATGTCGGTGCATGACTGCATAAGCCTATGATTTAAATATTTAATAAATAGACAAGAAATAGTCCAACATTTTAGGAAATACACTTATTTGCTTTATTGCCCAGAGGTAGATGAGGAGATCAATACCACTGCGTAAATTTGAAGCGATAACTAGTAGCCAGTTAACTTAGCTTAGAATGAAGATTAGAAATGGGGGGAAACAGCTAACAAGGTTCTCTCTATTAGTAATGAAATCCACCCAATATCACCAGCTCATCTGAGCTTTATTGGACACAGTGACTCCAGCTCAGGAAACAGTCTGACAGTAAAGGTGCAACTTTTTATACTTTGGAAGAAATTAGATATAACATGTTATGGTGCCCTGTGACGTTTACATTCAGTTTTACTTACCACAATGCATTGTTGTGTCTAACAATTGCCTGCCTCAGTTCAACAAAATGTGGACCTAATAATCTGCTCTACAGCACTACTGAAGGTCAAAAACTCCACTGGATTAATTAGTGAGCTTCAGTTGTGCTGGTGGGAGGATTTTGCTACCTTTAGACAGAGTCAGGCTATGTGTTTCCCCCTTTTTTCCAGTCTTGATGCTAAACTAAGCTTACTGGCTGGCTGTAGCTTCATGTTTAAAAGGACACATATGGTGGTTATCTCTTAACAAGAAAAGGAATAAGCGCATTACCCAAAATGTCGAACTATGATGTTAAGCTTGTCATGTCAGTTCTTAACCAGAATTATCTTGTCAACAGAAACGCTCCCTCAACTGTGTAACAATTTGAGGTATTTTACGCCATGTTCCTACCTTGATCTTGAACTCCAGCTGAGAGTTGATGGTATACATCATCTCTGTTCTCTCCATTGTGCGAGCTCCTTCATTACACTTTCTTACCACCTGCTCTCACACACAAATGTACACAGTGTCTGTTAATCAATGTACTTGTACTCATTTGTCGTAAAATACCTGCATACTATGATTCTCTCTCTCTCTCTCTCTCTCTCTCTCTCTCTCTCTCTCTCTCTCTCTCTCTCTCTCTCTCTCTCTCTCTCTCTCTCTCTCTCTCTATATATATATATATATATATATATATATACATACATATACATACACACACACACACACACACACACACACACACACACACGCAACAACATAAAATCCAGAATGAGTTTGTATAACATTTCACCACACACCTTGCTAACTGCTTGTAAAGCCCTCTTACACTCTTCATATTGGTCCAAGTCTTTTTGTGTCTTCTGACAAATTGTCTGCAACACAGGGAGTCAGAGCTCAAATGACTTGAACAAATGTATAATGTAAACACGTTCATGAGCAAATGTCCACAACAATTCACTGTACCCATGCACACCACACTCTATCAAAGGCCTGATAAAACATTAATGCCTAAAGGAAGCTGTGGGAAGAAATTAATTGAAACCAAACTTTCTCAGGATCCAAAAGCCTCTGAGTGTACAAGCACAAACCCCAGAGTCCCTAGGGAGACACTGACAGAAGACAGGGGAGAGGGGATGAAAGCAGGGACAGGGAGGCGCAGTAGGAACAGAATAATAAGAAGCATAAAACTGAAGAAGAAAAGAACCAATAAAAGGAAGAGAGAGAAGTTAAATTAGTTAAGAGAGTGAGGGAATGATGTAAGGCCACACAAACATCTTTGAGGTTAGAATCCATCCCATGTAGAGTCAGTCAGGCCCAAATGAATAAACAAACTGTTGAGCAAAAGTCAAAGTCTTGAAATTCCAAAGCTCATGCTACTATATGCCTGCACTCACATCCATGAGCAGGGGCAAGCGAGTGATCCTCTGCATGGGCAGGATGAGGAAGGAGATCATGGGGAGGTTCCTGCAATCTGGGTGGCCCTCTATCCTGGTCAGCACCTCCTTCAAAACTGGATTCTTGGACCTGCAAGAGAGGACAGAGAGCGACTGGGTGTTCAGATGGAGCAGGAACTGATGATACACAGAGAAAGAAGAAAAAGTGAGTGGGAGGAAGAGCAAATTCCCTTGTTCAAAGTCTTAGAACAGTTATGTTGGCTCATATCCATAAGATATATGATAAGAACAACAGATGTTATATTTATGTGTGTTTGCTCGGTCACTCACACCAGCCTCTGCAGGGTTCGCTGCTGGTAGACCTCATTGGAGCAGTATGTGATGTAGGGATCAAAGTTCGCCTGGGCATGCTTGCAAACAATGTCGCTGATGTCATCGATCACTATGTTCTGTTGGTGTCTTTCTTCCAGTTCCTTAAAGAACCTGAACACAGGATGAACACGGGTCAGTATGTCGGGGATTCATATGGTACATGAGTCAGAAGCATCAAATCATAAGTCATCCCGCACTGAGGAAAATATAGGATGCACTGACAGATACAAAGTCAGGAAGCACCGCCAACACCTTTCGTCTAAACCCACTGTAGGATCACAAGAGAGGAACTCCCTGCCTTTTAAAATAGACATAGCCTACCATTAACCATAACACAGAGGCTTTTCCTCTTCCTGAGCACCACCAGATGGCCGGTTTTAACGGCACGCCACATGGCCAGCTTCAAGAGAATAAGTGTTTGTGCATGCACAATCCATGGTGACAAACAGGAAGGTGTTCACAGACACAGGACGCTGACCTTGACCAGTTGGACTGAGTTTGAGCTCCCTACCCATCCCTACAACCTCCACACGCAGATGCAAAAAAACAATGCTTCTTGTGACCGCGTAGCCTGACCTTGTACTCTCTGAACTATACCTTTTCTAATCAGGGCATGAGCACACAGGAAAACAGAAAACACACACACACACACACACACACACACACACGTTGCCCTGTCCTCTGGCCCATGTCCTAAAGGTGCATTAAGGTATTTAACAGGTCAAAGCTGCTCGAGTTCAGGCTGAGCTCCCACCTGGGGCAAAACTCACTGACCCCAATAACAGCATGCTGTGCTGAGGGAAGAGGTCAAAGAAGGGGAGTTAAAACAGGGTGAAAGGGACATGCCCAAAATTAGTCTGCAAACTAAGAATTATAAATGAAAATGTAAGAGTTCTACCAGCAGAAGAATATACTTTTTTGAATCAGCATTCAGAATATGGTACGGGAATGAATGAGGTATGTCATATCCCTGGGCTGCAAGTGAAATACAACCACACACCACCTGCGTTTAAAATACTAAACAGTCCTCCCACTCACCATCACACACAGACTACACAGGAGCCTGCAGGTGGTGCAATATTTCTGCTATTTTCTTTGAGAGGCTGACTATCTGTTCCAAGCATAATATCTTGCTTAACCAGTGCAACAAGTCATTTTTTTTATAATAAGAGCTACTGTCTCTCCGTCTCTGTGCCCTCCACTCTCCTCCCTGGGGATATACAGGTTTAAGTATTTAAGTGGGGAGGGTAAAGTATTGCTTTAATGTGTGTGGCCTGTGTATAGGAATGAGAAAGGGGAGTGAGATGGGATGCAGCATGTTTGAATACAGTAAGAAATTGTTGAGGGATTTTTATCCCAATGTACCTAATAAGTAGGGATGCACTGATCCAAAACTGATATCACATATCGGCCCGATACTGACTGAAATCGCTGGATGGGGTATCAGTGACAAGGGGGGTGATTTATGTGGCTGATCTGCGCCGGTGGACCTGAACAATTTGCCTAGAGAGCCAACATCGCATTTATTTTACAAAGTTAGGAAGCAATGCTTAAGTCAAGCCTGATGTTGCCTTGGACATAAAAGAATGATTCCCAGTCTCTTCTTCACAGTAAGGAATCCAGCTTAATAATGTTACACTGGTATTGGATTGGTACTTTGCATGGGCTGATACCCAAAGCCCAGGTATAGGTATTGGGACTGAAAAAGTCAGATCGGTTATATATCGGTTATTAATAAGCTGCAGAAAGTGAGGAGTAATGTTTGTTCACTCAAATGTAGATGGTATGCTGTATGCAATAAAAAATGTGAAATATTTCTGTCTGTGGAGGGAGCCACAGTCCTGACATTGAATCGTTGAGCAAATGTCATGAACAGTTGCACAGGGGAGGCAGTGAATGCTCTGCAAGTATGCGCACACACACACACACACACACACACACACACACACACACACCACACACCACACACACACACACACACACACACACACACACACACACACACACACACACACACACACACACACACACACACACACACACACACACACACGATAAACTAAAACTCAGTAAAATGTCTTAAAAAGGCTTATGACACAGCCTAGGCAACAGAAAGACTACGGCTGGCTTAACCTAATTTCACGCTTAGATTTATGAGCCCAGAGCTTCCAGCAAGCCTCTGGTTAAGAGGTCACACATGAAAACAAAAGCCCAGGGTTAACATATTCAGAGCACTCATTGCATTTGACTTGGCACATCAGAATAATCTGATTGGACGTCGACATGTCACACTGCTGTGGTGTTAGCCTTGGTTTAGAGTGTGATATTAACACTGGTTTTTTAAAAAATATAACCTTGAAAACTTGGTTACAACGTGTTGGCAGAGCAGGCTCAGTGGGGCTAAGGGAGGGAAGTGTGAAAAAACCTTGGACCTTGGACTAAATGTGGAGTCTTTAGTCTCTATAGTAGGCTTGTAGACTGACAATCAATGCAGCATTAATTTTACAGAAGGATACGTGACGGCAGCCACGGGGAACAGTTTCAGACCAGCTGTTATCATAATGACTACTGACCTAGGAATTTTCACACATTAAACAGTTTATCATAGTGAATAGTAATTTTATAAAAATAATAAAAACACATGGCACAACAACATATGGGGTCAGAAATTCTTCTATCAATTACTTGTAGAAATAATGGTGCAGAGGGAGCAAGTTCATGGTTACCTGGCCTATAACATCATTACACAGTTCACACGAATGCACTGTAAATCATAACAGATAGGTAAACTCAGAGGGCTCATAGCAGCAAATTTTGTTTCTTGTTGTTCCACTCAATGTGCCCCTTGCTTCTTCTCAGGCTCTGTTTTCTGTCTATCAGCATGTGACCTCACATATGCACAGGAAACAGCTCAGTGCTGCTTACTGGAGCTAGAACGTCAGGCTAAAGGAATGGTATCACCGTACAATTAATAGTGTTTACAGACACACATCACATGGAATGAGTGCGGTCCACCAGCTCTTAAGTGCTATTAAATAAGAAAATGATTTAGCTCTTTTGCCAAAACCACAAACCACTGATAGACATTTCAGGAATATGTAAGAGGAGCCTAAAACAGCATGTAAACACAAACACTTTTTAAAAGGTTTTTGATATTACAGTTTTTCTCAGTCACTTTGGTATTTATCAGATCAGAATTGAAATTCTCAAAACATCTCATCACTTGTGTACATCCTGAAAGGAATTACTCATTCTTTTGAACAAATTGGAAATGCTTAAATGATTATGTACAATTGTCTGCTGTTTCCTACATTATCAATCGCTTATGTCATGTTGATCACAATGTATTATACTAGTTCTCTGTTGAATATTTTTACATCCCCATAACATCTAGGCATTAGCTCATTGCACTGTCTATTAGACTTTTTTTTTGTAAAGGTGTCCTGAATTGGTGAAGATATTCGTTGTGATGAGAATGAGTATCTGTGGCCAAACCGACAGGAATGACAGCCTAAGGGTTTCCCATGTTTACATTCCTAATTTTGTAATTTTTTCCATTGTGCTCTGCAGTGCTGTAAAAGTGCTGTCTTTTTCTTTTCTGTATCACATTTCATGACATGCTCTGTCAACAAATTACAGTTTAACTATGAATCCTGTCCAACCTCTTGCAATGTATAACTTTGTACTGCTGAAACAGATATTTGCCATACTCAACAAGCGCAGCCTTGTGCATTTTCAATTATTGTCATCCAAACTTTAGCCATAGTTTATATCAGCAAATACTTCCAGAGAACTTCTGTTATATTGACAATATAATAATATAGCTATGGCTAATAATATAACATGGCTAAACATTTTGACTGTCTTGTTTACAATCAATGTCACAAGGGGTTGTCATTCTGAAGGCACTGACATGTTCACTGACATTAATATTTACTTTTGAGAGACAGACTAAGGATTTTGAGCATGTAATCCACTGTGTTATGATGTTTGTGCAATCTGTTTAGAGAAATGCACTTATTGGTTAGCAAATGTTAAAGATGATTCGAGAAATGCACCAAAGTGACTGAGACAAACTGTCAAAAAAAGTTCTACAAACATGCAAGAGCACCAAAGATGAAAACACAAAACAATATACATCTGATAAGATATGTCTAGAAAAGATACACATTACAACAACGCAACCACACACTTACTTTTTGCTAGCTTCACAGACATCGGCAATGTTGGAGAAGAGGTGGTGGTGTTCGGTCTTGGTCATGGCCTCGCTGAGCTCTGCAGAGTTCTTGAACATGCGGATCAGGATCTCCAGACTGTGCAGATAAGAGTGCTCTGACGAAATCACCTCAAAAATGGCCTGATGAAGAGCAACAGAGAGAAGGGGAAACAAGAGTGTGAGACTGAAAAGAGGGGACTATTCATGTGTGTGTGTGTCTGTGTGTGTGTCTGTGTGTGTGTGTGTGTCTGTATTTATTACATTCTATTGAGACTTTGCATGCTTTTGTCATCCGACTAGGTCTGACTCACTCACTGCTGTATGAGATGGGCTCTGTCATGAACATGCTTGACATACCTATACTCTACATTCGTGCTTGGAATACTTTTTAACAATACCATGCACGTCTAAGCACTTTCAAGTATTTGTCCAACAACTTAATGTTTCATCTCATCGGTCTCCAAAGGTAAATATTTACCGGAACATGTCTTTCTCCTTCTATTTACAATGCGTCTGCTTTAAAGATATAATAGTCCATGATGCATGTTTCCTGCTGTGCTCCTTTAACAGCTTTTGAATGGTCTAGAGGAGTTTACAGAGACCAAGTGGAGTACCAGACTCCCTCAGTGCTTGGTAACTCATCTAGCCCAGAATTGGTTTATACTGTGATTCCTACCTCTTGCCTTTTGCGTTCCTCCTGAGTCATCTGGTCACAGAGACCACGTTTCTTGACCTAAATAGAAAACACAATTTGTTTAAAAAATAAATGAATAAACAACTTCTGAATAATGATTTTAAAGTTATGAAAAGATTTCAAAAACAAAGTCACACTTGTTTGACTACTGACTTTGTTTCATTTCAAGGGCCCTTTGAATTTATAGCAGATATGTGTGCATGTATGTGTTTGTGTGCAACTGTTGTCCTCACACACAAACAAAGGAGCATTTTGCATACCACACTGAAAAGAAAGCCAAATGAAAAGAAAGATCTTCACTGAATTAAGAGCCTCAGGGCAAGTGCAAAAATAGAAAAAACTGAAGGTAAAATGTCATTTGGCCGCATATGGTTAACAGGAAAGTATATGTGCGTGTTGGTATGTGACTGCCAAGATTTGGTCCAGAAATATTTAAATAAGACTGAAACAAAGCAATCTTCTTGAATTAACTGGATGTGGAGTGCCACTGAATTAAGCAGCCTGTGGCTTTGCCAAACTGGAGGCAAGGTTGAATAAAAAGCATGCCTCCATCTCATGTTTCACCACGTATAACCAGTATGATCTAGGGCGCATTCACATTACACCAGATCACACATGCAGGCAGGAATTCCAAGAGGCCATCTTTCCTTATTTCCACTAGCTTCTCATCCTGTTTCGGCACAAACAGGGAAGTGATAATGATCCTGGAGGAGCCTTCCTTCTCTCCGGTATCTGCCCTTCAGCCCTCAGCAAACACAGAGGACAAACAAACCTGCAGCAGACCAAATATCTCTTGCAGCACTTTCTTTCTATTCCGTTCACACATCATGTTTATTACTTCTCTTGCTATAACTTTCCCTTCTGCTAAACCTTCAACACTCTATATCAGCAAAACCAGCTATTGATGTAAGGCTTTAAGGTTTTAGTGTGCTATCAACCATGCGCCATGTCGTGCCAACTGAACTTCAACCTGTTTTACAGTTCGACTGGGTGTACTGAAACACAGTTTGGAATTAGGCATTAATCAATAGTAAATGATAAGATCTCTTTTTAAAGCTTTTATCTATGTTTCCGTGTTTGAAGCTGAATAAAACAAACAAAACTTCAGGCAACATGGGGTCATTGGAGTATTAAGCTACAGGACAGCTCCACCTTCTGAAAGTACAGGTGGTGATTTCTGGAAATATGAAAATTCTGAGGTGTGACATTTCATGGAAACCTCGTTAGGTGCTACGGGGACAGTAAGAGAAGGGAGGAGCGGAGTGAGAAAATGTGTTGGAAATGCAAAACTCACACAATGAAAACTTGTATATCTGGTTCTTGGCTTCACTGGAACTAAACTCATCATTGATGTCACATCAGGACAGCTGTGTGTCATCAACAACGTGCCAGCATATTCACCAAAATGCGAAAGAATCCTGCAGTGTTACATCATGTATTGTCTGGCCAAACACATTCACACTAACAGATCCAAAGCTGTAAAGCAGCTATGATGGAAGAAGAGAGCTACATCCTGTCAGCCTGGTAAAATCCAACTCAGCTCAATTAAAAAAAAACGAAAAACAGCCAGATCATCTGAATATAGTATACTTTGAATCCAATTTCCCATTCATTACAGTCCAAGTGCATATCGTTCTCTGCTAATACTAATTGGCTCCGCCTATGCCCTCGCCTGTTTTTGCTGCTGCACAAGTAAACAAGTAAACTGATGAGAATGATGGGAAGTAGAAAACTAAATTAGCTCAATCCTTTCCTCTGTATTCCTCTATCCCTCCATTCCAATCCTTAACTATATTACGTAATGCAGAGTCACCGCACTTCTCTGTAGAGGCAACATTTTAAGCATATTTGCAGTCTGACAAGGCTGTAGAGTTTGCCAACCCACTGGCACTAGGCCCAGCAGTGCTTCCAAAACTTCCTGTGGGTCTGGCTGACTCTGCCTCCCTGCCCACCCGAGTCCTAGAAGATATGCTCCTGTACTCCCTGATAAACAGAGTGAGGGGCAGAGGAACGCAGAAACAGTGGGAGGATGAGTACGGACTGTGGCCAAACTGGAGACGACAGCATTCTTCAGAGCACTAGCATTCCAAGACTCCACAGCCACAGCACAGTGTATACTGTATGTATGTCCGTATACTGGATATAGAGAAATAGTGAAAAAGATGTAAGAATTATGTCTGACCACACTGAGTTGACTCCAGGAGATACGTATAGGTCTGTACTGCACCACAATGCCGTTATCAGGTTTGGGTTCTCTCGAATCTGCATCCTCATCTGAGTCATCATGTAATGCCTTCTCCTGGTAATTCTGGTACAGCTCCTCTTCTGAAACACAGTTTTTTTGGACAGATGTTGAAGGAAGGTATTGTTCGTTTGAGAGCGAGGCAGAAAGGGCAAAGAGAACAGACACTAAAAAGAGTAAAATGGAGAGAAAAGTGTGGCGGAAACAAAACAGATTCTTACCCTCACTGTCAAACGTCCGCTGACTGGTCAAAATTTTCTTCTTATCTGGACTCTGACAGAGAAACACAACAAAAAGGTAATGACTTAGACAACTCTAAGGGACCAAGCAGGCGCACGCACACACACACACACACACACACACACAAACTTTCAATGAAATAGACGTGAGGACCTCTATCACCTGTCTATGCTCTTTCTGTTGATCTCCTTCATTGACCCCTGTCTCATTACAGAGCCACTGTGTATATAAGTGTGTATGTGAGGACATGGTGTCACATTATGTCATGTTTCCAAACAACCACATTAATTGTGTCCTTGTAAGGCCTTGTACGGACTTCTGCTGCTGCTAAGTTTGTTCCACAATACTGGCCTATGTTGTAATTTTACCATTCAGACTGTACCCCTCCAATACTGAAGTCCATGTTGAAGCTATCTTTGTGCACAATCAAATATAAATCCATCAGATGGACTGATTAACTGAGTTAAGAGATGGCTGCTAAAAAGTAACTGCAATGCCAAATTTCACAGGGTAACAGGGTTGTATATGTAATTTCTTTTGGCATTAATATTTTGTTATATAGAGCCAGTCGAGTATGTTTAGCTGAGTTTAGTATACTCTTTATGAGAAACACAAATTAACCCAAAAATGTACAACATGGCAAAATTCAGATCGCAAGACATTCAGTCAAAACTTGACAGTTTATAATTGTTTATTTTTGGGACAGTTTTACTCACCTTGTTTTTCCCTGTGCTGGTAGGCTTTTCTATCCCACGGCTAGCAGGATTAGAGATTCTGGGGCTGACAGATTTGGGTGTCCCAGGGCTGGAAAGTGTGGGTGACACAGGGCTCGCAGGCTTGGCTGTTCCTGGGATAGTGAGGCTTACAGTGCCAGGACTTGATGGGGTGACTGGTGAATCTGGTTTATCCCCATCTAGCCCTTTGATGACAGGGTGGGACAACCGATGGGCCTTTGGATCTACCGACGGGACTTCTAAGTCTACTCCACTCACAACGGCCCTCCTGTAGGACGTACTCCTCAGGCCTCTTCTTAGTGTCCCTGTGCTTTCACTTTCCCCATCCATCTCACCGTGGCCCCCTACTGTAGAAAAGTAGGTTCCTGTTTCCACCATGCTGAGGGCTTTCAACGCTCGCTTGGAATGATCCAACCCCAGCAGCCCTGCCAAACCATGGCCTTGCTGCCCAGAGGGAGGCACCTTGTTCTGCCGAATATCAGATGCTAAGCCCTTGGGGATGAGCTGCTGAGTGCCCATCTTCAGGGCAGCAGGACTGTGGGTGCTGAGAACAATGGAGGGAGGGGGAGAGATAGACGGTGAAAGTGAAGGAGAGGGTGAGGTGGACGAAATGGAGGAAGAAGAGGAAGAGGCATGCCTGGTGTCCTGTGAAGATGCGGGCGAAGATGAGGACTGTCTAAGGATTGCCTGGCCTCTGTCTGCCGGCGACGGGGAGCGTGGGGTTGGAGGGTCTGAGGAGGTAAGGGAAGAGAGGGAGGGGATGCTGGAGGTGGAGCTGTGGGAGGGAGTGCGCCGGGCTGGAGGAGAGGGGCTTGATGCAGATGAAAAGGAGGAGAGCTCAGGGTGGTTGTAGTTAGGAGTACGTGGAGACAGGACAGGAGAGGAACGCTGAAGACGAACAGCTTCGGGTGAGGACGAGCTCGTCCCAAATGCTATCTGGTCTTTCTGTGAGCTCAGACTGAATGGACTGGACATGCCTTTCTGGGGGTCCTGAAGACCCTTTTCCGGCCATACTGTCACTTTTCTACCGTCACAGTTTCCATTACACACTCTATTGTCCAGTGAAGCGGATCTGCTATCCTCAGACCTAAATTTGGACAGTGAGAAGAGTCCGTTGGAGAGGTGCCCGATGCTGATGCTTCGAACTACTCGGGATTTCCGGGAGGGCTTGTGCAGAACGTGCTTCAACACAACAGTATTTTTGCCCCAACACGGAGGAGTGACCACCAGTCTCTCAGCAGGCTGGCTCAAGGTGAAGGAAGTCTCGCTGTCCTCCGTCATGTCCCCATTTATGTGGTAACTGACAGGTCGCGGTTTGGGTTTGCTTGAGTCCTCTGGTTTTTTATAATAGTCTGTGCGGCGTTTCCACAATGGGGTGATGTTTTTATTGGACAAATCCACATCATTGCCGATATCCATGATCCTAAAGTGTCTGTGTCCACTTCACTATCTGTGTCCAAAACTACAGGTCACAGTGCAAAAACACTGCAGCCCTGCAGAAAACTGGGTCTCACTCCTAAGGGTAAACAAAAGAGAATAATCACAGTCAGTATCAGAGCTCAGTGCAGTTTCCAAATTCCCAAAGTTTACTCATTAACAGGGAGTCAGTGCAGTAGTGGCAGCTAAACTTAAGAAACACATGAGTGAAAAAGTTGTTGAATTGCCAAAACAGAAGCCAAGACAGCAGAGACAGCTGATAATCCTTTTGTATATGTTCGCACAATCCTGTTGTATATGAGCAATCACTCTAATATTCCAAAAGGAAAGCAACAGAGTGTTTAGTGTTTTTATCTTGTGTCACTTGAACCAAACAAATTTGCTCTTTTGTTTGTGTGTATCTGTACAAACATCGCTACATGAAAAAGATAAGAGAAGCAATAAACAGATCGTTTCTGAATCAGCTGTAGAAGAAAAAAGTTTTGGGTCCAACTTACCCCTAATCAGTCGATCTGCTGCAGAATGCGGTCATTGTACCTGCGCTGTCGTGAAAAAAAAAACTTCTTTGGACGAATAACAAAAGTTTATGGGCTTAATCCAGCAGGGTATCGAAACCAAATGAGTTATGTGGAACAAAAGTTGGAGCCGCAGAGTCATTTGCAGTGAAGTTTGTGAGCGACTGGAAACGCGGCAGTGAGGAGTTCCTATGAGCAGCAGTAGAAGGAGGAGGAGGAGGAGGAAGAAGACGAGGAGGGAGGGGAGCTGAACACAAGTGAGAGGGAAAGAACATCACTCCCAGGTTCACAGGACTTCAACTCGGGAATTACTTGAGTTATCGAAGTGGAGGGAGGCATTTTCATTTTACATTTAGTGTTTAATAAAGTTGCACGATGAGATGAGAAGAATATTCTTTTTAGTGTCATTAACTTTCTTATATTAGCATATTGTGCTATGCATAGTCTGTATACTCGTAAAGGACAAGAACAGTCCATATTAAAACATACTTACATGTTTTGTACACAAATAATCCCTGCAGCATTCATTTTGGGCTACTCAAATGACACGTTGATGTTGTGCGCCATCGGGTGTTTTGTTGAGTAATTGCAACAGTACCACACATTAGTGAGAAACACTGTCTTTTTCATCTAATTTTACAAAAAAATGTCCCAAAGTAGCCAACTTGTGAGAGCACTGCTAGTTAGTAAGAGTGGAGGCAGTGGCAGGAAATAGCAATCCACTTTTTTTTTTATACTAATGACAAACCACAGAACGTTTTCCCCAAAATATTTCAGTACAGACTTCACTACAGTCTAGCTATGTCTTTATAATAACCTCATCCTGCCCGATATCTATATTTGGTACATACAATAGGCTACCATATAGCCATTTTTCTGTTTGTTTTTGTAGTGACATCTGCAGATGCTTCAAAAATGTAGGCCTATTGAGTAATTAGAGGATCTGGGAGGATTTATAGCTTTTAATTCATGCGCCAATAAAAAGCTTTGTTGAGCAGTTTGAGGCTGTAGTTAATTCTTGCATCATTGGAAATGTAAGATTGCGAAATACTGTGTGACAAAGTATTTTCTCATTAAATCCACACTTATAATAACCCTCTTTCAATTTCTCAACCATGAGACACGAAAACTCCAAAGTGGATGACAACTTTTACAATGGGTTTAACTGGAAATAACTGGTCAGGCTGACAGAATGTGTGTTGTATGGATTGTATCCTGTATCCCACCGCGTGGCTCTTGTGCGCCAGTATTTGACCTGTTTGACCGCTAAGGGGCGCAATCGTAATGTTTACTAATCAGCACTGAGAGCACAGAGGAGACTTATGAGAGTCAAAGGTCATTCAACTAAGTACATCATAGGCTATATACAAAGTGTTGAAGTGACAGATGGTTAAAGGCAGTCAAAGTTCAGGATGAAACAAATGTCACCTACAGTACAAACATACAGACATAATTACAGATAGCAAGAAAGAGATCAGACAAAACTTTACACAGCTTCTGCTTGCAGTTAGCTGACAGCATTGTGAAAATAGCTCAAGAGGTGTAGATGGGAATTTTAATTGACAGTAAAACACAGGTCAGGATGTTTGGCATGTGTAATCACTGCTTTATTCTGTGACTTCTGAAACACGTAATAATTAAATAATTTTAAACATGTCCTTCCTTCCTGATGTTTATGACTTGTGTATGCAACATTGCCAAATCACTCCCACATAAATCCACAGCAGTATTAAAGGGATAGTTTGGGTACAACTCTTTGCTTCTCCAAACCTGGGTTGTGCTTACCGCCATCTACTGCAGGTAATACACTGACTGTGGACCAGTACCTTACACAGCGACACATACAAAATCAGGAAGTATCCCTTTAAAGTCATCAACAGAAACATTTCCACCACTGCATTCATCAGGAAAACTCGAATTAACATAATTTCCATCATCATTTACCGCAACAATATTTTCATGATAGTATTTGTCATGTCACTCATTATGTTCTATAGTGGAAGTGCAGCAGCCCATCCTGTTGTATTGTTTAAAGTAGCTATATGTTTCCTCATGTTGTTTGGTTAAAAAAATAGATGCTTCCTCTTCCAATAGACAAGATACTCACCTCCAACTCAAAGGCCTGAATGCAAGCCCCCTGAGCCAGTGAACATCCGCCCTGATGAAGAGCTCTTGAGCAAGACAGTAAATCTCCAAGCTGTTCTGCAACCAAACCTGACCCTGGCTCTTTGTGAGGGGATCAGTGGAGTAGAACATTAAAAAAAATGGAAGACAGGGGAAACTGGCTGAAAATCTAAGGAGCTATCATTGGTATCTTCTTAAGCATTAAAAGAAAGAAAAAAACTTCTACGGAGCAGGAACTCAAAGCTCTTAAAAAGACTAAGCTCATACCTGCAGCTTCTCTAGATATTTGTCTTTATTTTTCCACACATCAAACACTGATGTGAGAGAGCAGCTTTGTCTGTCTGTGTGGGGTCTTGCTTGTCTGAACAAAGTCTGCTTCAAAACAGTTTTTATGGGCAAAGTTAAGTTGAATAGGTGTGAAAGTAGTGAAAGTGACAGGGCAACCTGACAGGGAACACAAAACTGATATGATTAATATGAATGGAAGAGAAATTATCCTAGAACAGCAAATCATCTCATAAGTTACTTTATGATTGCTATAAAACAGCACATCCTCATACCTAAATGACAAAACAGGTCGCTTGTCAATTGTCTCAAAACAACATATATGTCCGTACAACAACATATATGACCGTTCCCCAAAAAGGCATGTACAAGCATTGGCAAGTACCAGTCCAGCTACAGGTGCGCCAAACCTTAAGTACGTTATGTATGTCACGTGACATACATGACGTTTAACACAGTCATGTGACATAAGTAATCTACAAAACGTTATTTAACTTAAAACATGTGAACTTTGACTCTTTTTTTTACACAGGACACAAACATTGGTGTCCTAAGGTAAAGTCCTTACTTTATTTGACACATTCATCCACCCCATCACCTTGTTGCTTTTTATACTACATCACCTGACTTCTTCCACCACTGGGTTGCAGCCTAACCAAAAAAGTAAAAATGGGTCGTATAATCGACCTTTATGGTCGTTTTTCTGGTGAGAACGGGCTAGAAAATAAAGTGGACGACTTGATTTTGTTATTGTTTTTTTTTGCTGGAGTTTGCAGCCAATCAACAAGAAATAAAAAGTCAAATTCTGAGAAACAGATTGTACTGAAGAATCTAAACGTCTTCTTGAATCATTGTTGTCTGTGAAGAATGCTGGTTAGAAGTATTGACATATGGGATTTAATTGCATCATTTTCTACACAGTCATGGATTAGGTCTTTAGTTAAAGCAAACATTTGTTGTTGAGATGTGCTGCTCTGAAAGCTGAGTTCAATGCCAGTGGTTAGAGCAGATGAACCAGTTTTTCTTGTTATGTTATGTTTCTGGATAAATAGGCAAAGAGCAGAGAGGAAAAAGCTACTATTGAGAAACCTTGCATCTCTCATTTAAAAAACTGCATCAAGATAACTAGTCTACATATGTAAGTGGTCTGGTTTATCACAAAATGAGAGATCTACTGTAGGTATAAACTAGCTACCCTGCTGAAGCTCTATGAATAGATCTCAAATGAACATTCAGTCCAGCATTCCCTGCAGGTTTGTTTCCTCTTTAACACAGCCCTGCTCCACTGATAAGTGTCTCTATGTTCATTAAGTTCATTAAGTTCATCGTGAAGAGAATTCTCAGAAAATATATTAATTGCTAATGTATTTCTTAAATGCTGTAAAAATCTAAGTCAAAAAGCAGCAGATTCTGATTCAGATCCTTCTAAAGAAAACAATAAATAAGTAAATGCTAAAAAACCTCAAATTAATTAAAAAAACTCACTCACAATACACCTTCATATAACTTATAGCCTAAATGTAGTGAACATTACAGGAAAAACATAATATCTTGTTATACAAAGTGCCAAGGATTACTGCCAAGGCCTCCATTCTTTTGTAATTAAGCTGCAGGGTTTAACCTAAAGTGTTCACTGCTGTTCTGTGCATTTGCATTACACTGTGTCAGATCCCGCTGGAAAAACATCTCTGTAGCCCTTTGCTGCAAGTATTACGTTTTGAAATCGTATTTTAGATACATTAACTATTAACAGTTTGAAATACTTTGTGGTTAAGATTCCGGTTTACAATGTTTTCAGGATTTTATTATATTTCAGAATTTACAAGAACTTTAATGTAAACAGTTGCGTTTGTCTCAGTCCAAGAGAAAAAGTTTTTCACTTGTTTTAGGACTGTGAAGTCCATTTCACCCAAATTACAAAAACAAACAAATAAACAAAAACGCTAACCTCTGATGAAAAAAACACATTTAAGACAGACCAGAGACCAGTGACAGGGTCCTCTGGACAATCTACATATCACACTTTCAACAGTTTTTATAGGTGCTATTTCTTTGATAAAAATGAAAAATCTAATTCAAGTCACTAATGCTTACATACATGGTGACCTAAACTCCATAATACCAGCTTTCGTTCCTTCTCGGCCACTGCGCTCCTCCAACGAATGTCGCCTGGCTCTGCCATCCCTACACACAAAGCAATCTCAGTCTCAGCTGTTCTCATCTGTGACACCACGATGGTGGAACAAGCTACCACACACCATCAGAGCAGGGGTGTCCCTCGCTAACTTCAAGAAGCTCTTGAAAACTCACCTCTTCCGAGAACACTTTCTCTTATAACACCTCTAACCCCTAACCCCTAACCTCTAACATGCCCTTCCTGTGCTCTTCTTGATTGCACTTTTTTGTTAACTCTTACTTCTTTCTCTAGGTATTTACCCCATTGATGCCATACAAGCTATGTTTTTATTAGTATTTATTGCTGCTCTTACTAGTATGTATTGTCACTTGTAGACTTCATGCGGTTTTGATGCTTGTATGTTGTTCCTCAAATGTAAGTTGCGTTGGATAAAAGGGTCAGCCAAATGAGTAAATGTAAATGTAATGGATTCCCCAGAGCAACAGGAACACTGTTTCTAAAAAGACAAGTATCTGTTGAATTTTAAATGTATTTTCCCCATGCAGCGAGCGCCACAAATGAAATCCCATTCATCTTCATCCACTGGGCTATCTGGATGGTAAAATACCATAAGACTTAACCATTTATCCCTCCTACAGAGTACTTAACACAGTGCAAATACAT